ATCTACCGTAGCTTTGATTGGACTGATCATGTCAACATCATACTTTCAAAACTTAACTAGCAGTCATCATCATGAATCAAGTCGACAATCTACTGGCAAATCCTTTTCAAATGACATATTTGACATACATGATTGCATTGTGCATGTATAAAGTATTTATTATTCAATGTCCTCACCTGGGATTTGAAATCACTACCTCTTGGTTCATGGTACTCCATTCTTCCTGCTACGCCACCATGACTGAAACAAACTGCAAAAATCTCTGAAGCTGGACACTTATCTCCCTCACTAACTTTAAGCATCAGTTGTCAGAGCAGCTTACCGATCACTGCACCTGTTTCTGTATAGTTGTCTTGTCACGATCGTTGAACGGAGTAGACCAAGGCGCAGCGTGATGAGCGAACATACTTTATTATCTTTAGTGATAACAAGAACAAAACAATAAACGAACAACGTGACGTCCTAGGTTAAACAACCAACACGGAACAAACCAAAAGGAACAAGATCCCACAACCACTGTGGGAAAACAGCCTGTTTAAATGTGGTTCCCAATCAGAGACAACCAGCCACAGCTGACACTCGTTGCCTCTGATTGAGAACCACACTGGCCAACATAGAAATAGAACACATAGAATACTGACATAGAACAAAAACACATAGAAACTACACACCCTGGCTCATCATATAGAGTCCCCAGAGCCAGGGTGTGACAGTACCCCCCACCAAAGGCGCGGACTGCGACCGCGCCTCAACATAAACCAAACAGGGGAGGGCTGGGTGGGCATTCCTCCTCGGAGGCGGTTCCGGCTCCGGGCTTGCCCACCACCCTCCAATAATCCCCCCGTAGCGCCCCTGGTCCGGTCTGGCCCCGCTGGCTGGAGCTGGACTGGACATCGTAGGAGCGGATTGCTTAAGCTCCGGTGTGGAGCAGCTGACCGGTACCTGACCAGGCACCGGTGACCCAGGCACGGGTTGTGCCGGACTGACGACGCACACCCCTGGCTTGGTGCGTGGAGCAGGAACGGGCCGGAGCGGGCTGACGATGCGCACCCCTGGCTTGGTGCGTGGAGCAGCAACGGGCCGGACCGGGCTGACGATGCGCACCCCTGGCCTGGTGCGTGGAGCAGGAACGGGCCGGACCGGGCTGACGATGCGCACCCCTGGCTTGGTGCGTGGAGCAGCAACGGGCCGGACCGGGCTGACGATGCGCACCCCTGGCTTGGTGCGTGGAGCCGGAACGGGCCGTACCGGGCTGACGATGCGCACCCCTGGCTTGGTGCGTGGAGCAGGAACGGGCCGGACCGGGCTGACGATGCGCACCCCTGGCTTGGTGCGTGGAGCAGCAACGGGCCGGACCGGGCTGACGATGCGCACCCCTGGCTTGGTGCGTGGAGCAGGAACGGGCCTTACCGGGCTGACGACTCGCACCCCTGGCTTGGTGCGAGTGGCAGGAACAGGCCGGGCCGGGCTGGCGACGCGCACCGTAGGTTTGGTGCGAGTGGCAGGAACAGGCCAGGCCGGGCTGGCGACGCGCACCGTAGGTTTGGTGCGAGTGGCAGGAACAGGCCGGGCCGGGCTGGCGACGCGCACCGTAGGCTTGGTGCGAGTGGCAGGAACAGGCCGGGCCGGGCTGGCGACGCGCACCGTAGGCTTGGTGCGAGTGGCAGGAACAGGCCGGGCCGGGCTGGCGACGCGCACCGTAGGTTTGGTGCGAGTGGCAGGAACAGGCCGGGCCGGGCTGGCGACGCGCACCGTAGGCTTGGTGCGAGTGGCAGGAACAGGCCGGGCCGGGCTGGCGACGCGCACCGTAGGCTTGGTGCGAGTGGCAGGAACAGGCCGGGCCGGGCTGGCGACGCGCACCGTAGGCTTGGTGCGAGTGGCAGGAACAGGCCGGGCCGGGCTGGCGACGCGCACCGTAGGCTTGGTGCGAGTGGCAGGAACAGGCCGGGCCGGGCTGGCGACGCGCACCGTAGGCTTGGTGCGAGTGGCAGGAACAGGCCGGGCCGGGCTGGCGACGCGCACCGTTAGCTTGGTGCGTGGAGCAGGAACAGGCCGGGCCGGGCTGGCGACGCGCACCGTAGGCTTGGTGCGAGGGGCAGGAACAGGCCGGGCTGGGCTGGCGACGCGCACCGTAGGCTTGGTGCGAGGAGCAGGAACAGGCCGGGCCGGGCTGTGGAGACGGATAGGAGGCCTGGAGTGAAGAGCTGCCACAACCCGTCCTGGCTGAATGCCTACCTTCACACACTCTGTGTGAGGCATCAGCACATGACGTACAGGGCTGTGTACCCGTACTGGCATAACAGCACGTGACACTGGCGCAGGATATCCGGGACCGAGGAGAGGCACTGGAGACCACGAGCGCTGAGCCGGCACACTCCGTCCTGGCTGCATGCCCACCTTCGCACGACACGTGCGGGGTGCTCGCACAGGACGTACCGGACTATGCCGGACCACTCGTGGCACAGTACGCAGCTCCGCATACCCCGGAACCTGCCCAGTCTCATGCTGCCATGCCTGAGTACGGGGAGTTGGCTCTGCTCTCCATCCAGGCTCCGCCAACCTGCCTTCTGGCCCCCCAAACCCGGTGGCCTCCTCTCCTAATCTCCCAATTCGCCCTGTGGCAGCCTCCTGCTGCCCAGTCGCCCATGCCGTGTGCCCCCCCCCTAAAAAATTTCTGGGGTTGCCTCTCGTCCGTCCGACGACGACACTGTTGACGCCGTTGCTCCTCTCTCGCCAGGGCCTTAACCTTAGCCCATGGCCCTTTTCCCCCGAGCATGTCCTCCCAGGACCACAATTTGCCCACCTGGGCCATCGCCAACCTCTCCAGCTCCTTACCCGGCGCTTCCTCCCATGTCCAGGCTGCCTGCTCCTGGACACGCTGCTTGGTCCTGGTATGGTGGGATCTTCTGTCACGATCGTTGAACGGAGTAGACCAAGGCGCAGCGTGATGAGCGAACATACTTTATTATCTTTAGTGATAACAAGAACAAAACAATAAACGAACAACATGACGTCCTAGGTTAAACAACCAACACGGAACAAACCAAAAGGAACAAGATCCCACAACCACTGTGGGAAAACAGCCTGTTTAAATGTGGTTCCCAATCAGAGACAACCAGCCACAGCTGACACTCGTTGCCTCTGATTGAGAACCACACTGGCCAACATAGAAATAGAACACATAGAATACTGACATAGAACAAGAACACATAGAAACTACACACCCTGGCTCAACATATAGAGTCCCCAGAGCCAGGGTGTGACATGTCTAATGTTGGTGGAGCATATTAACCTGTTTTAATGATACTCCTGAATCACTATGACCAATAAAATATTTTCTGGAGTGTACTTTTAACAGACCTGAGATTTACTTCAAAGTGCATTCACCCTATTGCTTACACCTATCAAGTTGTTTCAGATAGTAAATAATTTTCCAAGTGTTTTAACAAAATGTCCATATAAACCAAGAGGTTGTGAGTTCAAATCCCAGGTGAGGACATGTTGAATAATAATTACTGTATAAATGCACAATGTAATCATGTATGTCAAGGTGTGTGAACTATGTAAACACTGTATGTTAAAAGCACTGTGTGAGTATACTTGCCAACAGACAAAAAGGGCTGTGAATGGCTCAGTGGTTCACCAATCAGGGCCTTGATGGGCTTGGCAACAGTAACAAGGTGTTCTTGCAACATTTCCATAGAACAGGTCTAGAATATGATGTTGATGGAATATTCTCCTAACCCTCAGAAAACTGGACCCAGGAATGTTCTTACAACATTCTCATGAAATGTGTCTAGAACATGAATATCTCATATTCAGAGAAAATGGCAACCATGTTCTGTGTATGACTGATGTGACGTTGATGGAATATTCTCCTAACCCTCAGAAATCAGGACACTGGAATGTTCTTGCAACGTTATCATAAGTGTCTAGAACTTTAATATCTAATATTGTGAGAAAATGGCAACCATGTCCTGTGTATGTTTGGTGGAATGTTGAACTCTTCTCCTAACCCTTAGAAAACTGGAGACATGAATGTTCTTGCAACATCCCATAAAACGCATCTACAACAATGTTGTATATTCTGAGAACATTGTAGCCACATTCTAGATAGGTTGTGCTTGGCATTAAGGTAATGTTCTCCTAACTTTAACACCAAAACATTCTAAAAAGGTTTCTCTGAAAGTTTTTGCTAACATAGATAGAATGTTCCCCAAACTAATGGAAAACTGGACACTCAAACATTAGGGGAACATTACAGGTAACATTACAAAAATGTTCTCTCTCCATAGAATTGTTAGCTGGGCTACAATACACACATACTGTACATACACATGTAGACCGATGGACTTCATAAATACATAAGACAAAACAGACAAACAGGCAGTATGATGAACTGCAAAAGAAAAGAGACCTACAGTACATACAGTAAGTGACTAGGATGAAAGAGATAGAAAAGAGGGGAATGGGTGGTCAAGTCAATTCATTAACAGCAGAGTGACATTGGCTCCATTGCATTATTGAACACATGCTGACCCTGCACTAAAAGAAGGACTTTTCAATTAACAGACCATGTTGTAAATGTCACACTGGAATCAATAGACGACGGGCCAGCCCCTCTGCAGCCCCTGTTCCCTTTGGTGGTTCCTCCCAACCCCCACACTGCACTGCATTGCTCTCTCTCACTTCTCTTCTGACTGTCTGTCCCCCATGACCTCTCATAAACATGACCGACATCTTCATTATTGTGAAGTGGGCTGGGCCATCTGAGACCAACTACTCTGGTCTACCCATAGATACAGTAGGACCTTAGCCTTCCATGTCTCAGCATCGTAGAATTGACTTGACCTTGGCATAACCTTCAAAATACACTCAGTTTGGATAGTTCCATTCCATTGGCAGAATGCTGGTAGACCGATTTATTTGTCCTGCACCTCATCTACTGAACTGACAGTAGCTCAGATCTCAATTACCGTAATGTGTATTTTCTTCTAGCCCCTGATGGTCCCCCACAAGATGTGCAGCTTGAAGCTTTCTCCTCTCAAAGCATCAAAGTCTCCTGGAGGGTAAGAAACATTTAACCTACTATTACCACTAGGACTGAAGAGCCCTTACTGCAGCTCTATGGTCTGCTAGTTACATGGTCTGCTACACGTCAGGGCCTTGAGGGCCACAACCATTCTTATGTCCTTTATCTAATGTGCGTTCCCCTCTCCTCCTTCTTCACTCCCCCTCTCCATCCTCCCCCAGGCCCCTAAGAAGCACCTCCAGAACGGGGCGATCCGAGGCTACCAGGTGGGCTACAGGGAGTTCAGCGCCGGGGGAAACTACCAGTTCAACGTCATCACCATGGAGACGACGGGGGACAACGACCACAGTGAGAGCATCACCCTGGACAACCTGAAGAAGTTCACCCAGTATGGGGTGGTGGTGCAGGCCAGCAACAGCGCTGGGACAGGACCTTCCTCCCAGGAGGTCATCTCTACCACACTGGAGGATGGTGAGGACACACACACACACACACACACACACAGTCTGCCCTTAGCAATCAGTGATAGTATGGTAGACAGTGAAAATCTTATTGATTTCACAAATCTCTTTAGCTGAATGAAGGTATTCTACGGTATTGTGGTGCATCAAGAGTCAAATGGCTGATGTTTTGTCTTTGAGGGGAGTGAACTCCCAGGATGGAGCTTTATTGACATCTAGTGGATAGTGTTGGTACTGCTGGTGTAGTGACTCACGTGATCAGTATGTGGCTGGTCATTATTTTCATGGCTCAAAAAACCCTGACAAATGCTAGATCCCAAAACACTTATGTTTTTAAGTTAAAATAAGCATTTTGAAGTTCACTTCCATTGTCCTCCAAGAGTAGCTCAATATTTTCCTCTCTAAAGAGAGTGAGGTAACAGTGTTGTTTTTCCTCCTCCCTGGTTGTAACAGTTCCCAGCCAACCTCCAGAAAACGTCCAGGCCACGGCGGCATCCCCAGAGGTCATCTCTCTGTCCTGGCTGACCCCTCCTAAAGACGCCCTCAACGGCATCCTGCTCGGCTTCAGAGTCATCTACTGGGCCAACCTGCCGGACGGAGGTACAGCAACACACAGTATAAACAATAATAATATGGCATTTAGCAGACGCTTTTATCCAAAGCGACTTACAGTCATGCGTGCATACATTTTTGTGTATGGGTGGTCCCGGGGATCGAACCCACTACCCTGGCATTACAAGCGCCGTGCTCTACCAGCTGAGCTACAGAGGACCACTACACACACACACACACACACACACACACACACACACACACACACACACACACACACACACACACACACACACACACACACACACACACACACACACACACACACACACACACACACACACACACACACACACACACACACACACACACACACACACACACACACACACACACACACACACACACACACACACACACACACACACACACCACACACACACACACACACACACACACACACACACACACACACACACACACACACACACACACACACACACACACACACACAGAGGGATGTAGACGTTATACTCTATCTTGCCTGGTCCGTAACTCTCCAAGACATACTGTGTATAGAATGTATACAATATCAACATGATTCACTATGCATGATAATTCAAGTGGATGAATGAGACATATATTAGCAGTGACCCAGGCTTTCTAGTCCAACTCAGACAGCCTGGCATGGCATGCAGTCGTTACGTGCTGGAGAGACATCAGAGTGATCGCTTCTGACAGCCCTGTTACCTTTGACCCCTCATCTGTCATATCACATCCTCGCTGATGGCCCCTGAATGCACCAATAGAAGCACCGCTCACAGCCTAACAGCTCAATCTAGTTTGCATAGTAACAGGGCATGTCATAGTGGGACACGCTCCAGAGTACCAACAATACTACAGCCATAGCCATGTGTTACATATATTCTATACATATTGATATCGTATGTAACATTGAATATGAATACAGATCATATTCATTTAAATTAAAGAGGTCACTCATTATGTGTGAAAGAAAATCATATTTATGTATTTATTGTCTAAGACACTTGTCTAAACCATCAGCCAGTGCCTGCTGTGCTCTTCATATATTCCAAATATGAGCAATATAAATGTTGTTGGGAAAGTATCATGGGTTGTTAAAACCTTATGCACCAGCAGACGGGGCTATAGCACCTTTTTCTAAGTTGGTGGAACAACTTTGTCTTATTCATCCAACACTGCTGTTCTAAACATTTGGCACCAACCCGTTACTGCAGTAATCAAACTCAGCACTCTGTTATTCCACTCAAAACAATGTTTTCATTTATTATTTGCATTCAAGCACTCATCAATGGTATATATTTATCCCCCATTTCATGAGTCAGAATAGTGATTACAACTATTGTAAACCACAGCTGGTTTTCAATATGTATACAGCATATATTTTACTATACATTTCCAAATCACAGTATTCTGACTCATAAACCTTTCACTCACTTTTATATCCCAGAGAAGTGTTCTGAACAGCCCACAACACAACCATAAAGGATGGAGCTATAGAGCCACATATGAACAGATTCCAGCTAGTGTAGAACACCTGAGCTGTTCATATGCTATGGCTGCTTTGGGACAGTTTGGCGTTTGAATGGCATCAATAAAGGGAGGGAGGGAGAGAGGAGGAGGAACACCTGTACTAACAGGGAGGATGGAGCATTAGCAGACTGGCTCACATCCAGACTGCAGTAGAGGAGGGAAAGAGCGAGAGGGAATGGAGAGAAGACAGGGGATAGAGAAGGGAGGGGAGAGAAAGAGGGAAGTGAGAGAAAGAGAGAAAGAGGAGAGCGAGGGAGAGACATCTATAATTCAACACTTAGAGAAGCATTGTCAGAGTCAAGGAGAGACACCCCAGAACAGACCTTGGATGGGCTTTTCAATCCCGGATTTGTGTCCATGGTTTGATTGAATAAGGTGTTAAGTATGTTCACTGCTATGACATCCTTGGCCATCTTAATTGTGTATGTGATATACTATACAAGTATATCACATACAAAGTGATAGACATGGAATGGCCTCCCCTCCTCCCTGAAAGCTTTAGGCAGCCTCCAAGCCTTCTCATCCGAGAAAAAAACATGTGTCAAGTCCAATCAAAAGTGTTCATACTGATTTTAATCAAATAAACCACAGTGACTTTTTAATGCAACAGAAAACACACTAGAACACACACGTGTATTCAAATAAATTACAATCAAATTGTATTTGTCACATACAGGTGTTTAGCAGATGTTATTGCGGTTGTAGCGAAATGCTTGTGCTTCTAGCTCCGACAGTGCAGTAATATCTAACAAGTAATATCTAACAATTTCACAACATATACCCAATACACACAAATCTAAGTAAGGAATGGAATTAAGAATATATACATATATGGACAAGCAATGACAGAGCGGCATGGACTAACATACAGTAGAATATTATAGAATACAGTATATACATATGAGATGAGTAATGCAAGATATGTAAACATTATTAAAGTGACTAGTGTTCCATTTCTTAAAGTGGCCAGTGATTTCAATAGGCAGCAGCAGCCTCTAATGTGCTGCTAGTGATGGCTATTTAACAGTCTGATGGCCTTGAGATAGAATCTGTTTTTCATTCTCTCGGTCCAAGCTTTGATGCACCTGTACTGACCTCGCCTTCTGGATGATAGCGGGGTGAACAGGCAGTGGCTCGGGTGGTTGATGTCCTTTATGATCTTTTTGGCCTTCCTGTGACATCGGGTGCTGAAGGTATCCTGGAGGGCGGGTAGTTTGCCCCCGGTAATGTGTTCTGCAGACCAGACCACCCTCTGTAGAGTCCTGCGGTTGCGGGCGGTGCAGTTGCCATACCAGGCGGTGATACAGCCCACAGGATGCTCTCAATTGTGCATCTGTAAAAGTTTGTGAGGGTTTTAGGTGCCAAGCCAAATTTATTCAGCCTCCTGAGGTTGAAGAGGCTCTGTTGCGCCTTCTTCACCACACTGTCTGCGTGGGTGGACCATTTCAGTTTGTCAGTGATGTGTATGCCAAGGAACTTGAAGCTTTCCACCTTCTCCACTGCGGTCCCGTCGATGTGGATAGGGGGGTGCACCCTCTGCTGTTTCCTCAAGTCCATGATCATCTCCTTTGTTTTGTTGACGTTGAGTGAGAGGTTATTTTCCTGGCACCACACTCCCAGAGCCCTCACCTCCTCCCTGTAGGCTGTCTCGTCCTTGTTGGTAATCAAGCCTACTACTGTTGTGTCGTCTGCAAACTTGATGATTGAGTTAGAGGCGTGCTTGGCCATGCAGTAATGGGTGAACAGGGAGTACAGGAGGGGGCAGAGCACGCACCCTTGTGGGTCCCCAGTGTTGAGGATCAGCGAAGTGGAGATGTTGTTTCCTACCTTCTCCACCTGGGGGGCGGCCCATCAGGAAGTCCAGGACCCAGTTGCACAGGTCGGGGTTCAGACCCAGGGCCTCAAGCTTAATGATGAGCTTGGAGGGTACTATGGTGTTGAATGCTGAGCTATAGTCAATGAACAGCATTTTTACATAGTTATTCCTCTTGTCCAGATGGGACACTGCCTCATTGCCTGCGTCCGTAATGGGTCCGCGATCAAACAACCACCCCTCATCACTGTCAAACGCTCCCTAAAACACTTCAGCGAGCAGGCCTTTCTAATTGACCTGGCCCGGGTATTCTGGATGGATATCGACCTCATTCCGTCAGTAGAGGATGCCTGGATGTTCTTCAAAAGTGCTTTCCTCTCCATCTTAAATAAGCATGCCCCATTCAAAAAATTCAGAACTAAGAACAGATATAGCCCCTGGTTCACACCAGACTTTACTGCCCTTGACTAGCACAAAAACATCCTGTGGCGTACTGCATTAACATCGAACAGCCCCCGCCATATGCAGCTTTTCAGGGAAGTCAGGAACCAATATACACAATCAGTTAGGAAAGCAAAGGCTAGCTTTTTCAAACAGAAATTTGCATCCTGTAGCACTAACTCCAAAAAGTTTTGGGACACTGTAAAGTCCATGGAGAATAAGAGTACCTCCTCCCAGCTACCCACTGCACTGAGGCTAGGAAACACTGTCACCACCGATAAATCTACGATAATCGAGAATTTCAATAAGCATTTTGCTACGGCTGGCCATGCTTTCCACCTGGCTACCCCTTCCCCGGCCACCAACACTGCACCCTCCGCTGCAACTTGACCATGTCCCCCCCCCCCCCCCCCGGCTTCTCCTTCACCCAAAATCAGATAGCTGGTGTCCTGAAAGAGCTGCTAAATCTGGACCCCTACAAATCAGCTAGGCTAGACAATCTGGACCCTTTCTTTCTAAAATTAGCCGCCGAAATTGTCGCAACCCCTATTACTAGCCTGTTCAACCTCTCTTTCGTATCGTCTGAGATCCCCAGAGATTGGAATGCTGCTGCGGTCATTCCACTCTTCAAAGGGGGTGACACTCTAGATCCAAACTGTTACAGACCTATATCCATCCTGCCCTGCCTTTCGAAAGTATTTGAAAGCCAAGTTAACAAACAGATCACCGACCATTTCGAATCCCACCGTACCTTTCTCCGCTATGCAATCTGGTTTCTGAGCCAGCCACGCTCAAGGTCCTAAACCATATAATAACCGTGATCGATAAAAGACAGTACTGTGCAGCCGTCTTCATTGATCTGGCCAAGGCTTTTGACTCTGTCAATCACCACATTCTTATTGGCAGACTAAATAGCCTTGGTTTCTCAAATGACTGCCTCGCCTGGTTCACCAACTACTTCTCAGATAGAGTTCAATGTGTCAAATCGGAGGGCCTGTTGTCTGGACCTCTGGCAGTCTCAATGGGGGTGCCACAGGGTTCAATTCTCGGGCCGACTCTGTTCTCTGTGTATATCAATGATGTCGCTCTTGTTGCTGGTGACTCTCAGATTCACCTCTACGCAGACGACACCATTTTGTATACATCTGGCCCTTCATTGGACACTGTGTTAACAAACCTCCAAACGAGCTTCAATGTCATACAACCCTCCTTCCGTGGGCTCTAATTGCTCTTAAACGATAGTAAAACTAAATGCATGCTCTTCAATCGAACGCTGCTTGCACCCGCCCGCCCGACTAGAATCACTACTCTCGGCGGGTCTGACTTAGAATATGTGGACCATAAACTCTCCTTCCAGACTCACATTAAGCATCTCCAATCCAAAGTTAAATCTAGAATCGGCTTCCTATTTCACAACAAAGCCTCCTTCATTCATGCTGCTAAACATGCCCTCGTAAAACTGACTATTCTACCGATCCTTGACTTCGGCGATGTAATTTACAAAATAGCTTCCAACACTCTACTCAGCAAATTGGATGTAGTCTATCACAGTGCCATCCGTTTTGTCACCATAGCCCCATATACTACCCACCATTGTGACCTGTACGCTCTCGTTTGCTGGCCCTCACTACATATTCGTCGCCAAACCCACTGGCTCCAGGTCATCTATAAATCACTTCTAGGCAAATCCCCGCCTTATCTTAGATCATTGGTCACCATAGCAACACCCACCCGTAGTATGCGTTCCAGCAGGTATATCTCACTGGTCATCCCCAAAGCCAACACCTCCTTTGGCCGCCATTCCTTCCAGTTCTCTGCTGCAAATGACTGGAACGAACTGCAAAAATCTCTGAAGCTGGAGACACTCTCCCTCACTAACTTTAAGCATCAGTTGTCAGAGCAGCTTACCGATCACTGCACCTGTACACAGCCCGTCTGTAATTAGCCCACCCAACTACCTCATCCCCATATTGTTATTTACATTATTTATTTTGCTCATTTGCACCCCAGTATCTCTATTTGCACATCATCTTCTGCACATCTATCACTCCAGTGTTAATACTAAATTGTAATTATTTTGCACTATGGCCTATTTATTGCCTTACCTCCATAACTTACTACATTTGCACACACTGTATATAGATTTTCTATTGTGTTATTGACTGTACGTTTTGTTTATTCCATATGTAACTCTGTGTTGTTGTTGTTTTTTCCGCACTGCTTTGCTTTATCTTGGCCATGTCGCAGTTGTAAATGAGAACTTGTTCTCAACTGGCTTACCTGGTTAAATAAAGGTTAAATAAATAACACATTAAAATGGGATAGGGCAGTGTGCAGTGTGATGGCGAATGCATCGTCTGTGGATCTATTGGGGCGGTAAGCAAATTGAAGTGGGTCTAGGGTGACGGGTAAGGTCCTCGACTCTCAAAGCACTTCATGATGACAGAGGTGAGTGCTATGGGGCAATAGTCATTTAGTTCAGTTACCGTTGCTTTCTTGGGTACAGGAACAATGGTGGCCATCTTGAAGCATGTGGGGACAGTAGACTGGGATAGGGAGAGATTGAATATGTCCGTAAACACACCAGCCAGCTGGTCTGCGCATGCTCCGAGGACGCGGCTAGGGATGCAATAACTGGTGCAATAACTGGGCTCTGTGCAATATTTTGTTTTTACTAGGTGTTTATGTGTTTTACAACCCCAATATTTTCAGGTCCAGCAGCATGTGCAATGATTTTTATGTGTAATGTCTTGCCTTTTTGTTTTGAATATGTCGGATGTACAGTGGGGAAAAAAAGTATTTAGTCAGCCACCAATTGTGCAAGTTTTCCCACTTAAAAAGATGAGAGAGGCCTGTAATTTTCATCATAGGTACACGTCAACTATGACAGACAAATTGAGGAAAAAAATTCCAGAAAATCACATTGTAGGATTTGTAATGAATTTATTTGCAAATTATGGTGGAAAATAAGTATTTGGTCACCTACAAACAAGCAAGATTTCTGGCTCTCACAGACCTGTAACTTCTTCTTTAAGAGGCATCTCTGTCCTCCACTCGTTACCTGTATTAATGGCACCTGTTTGAACTTGTTATCTGTATAAAAGACACCTGTCCACAACCTCAAACAGTCACACTCCAAACTCCACTATGGCCAATACCAAAGAGCTGTCAAAGGACACCAGAAACAAAATTGTAGACCTGCACCAGGCTGGGAAGACTGAATCTGTAATAGGTAAGCAGCTTGGTTTGAAGAAATCAACTGTGGGAGCAATTATTAGGAAATGGAAGACATACAAGACCACTGATAATCTCCCTCGATCTGGGGCTCCACGCAAGATCGCACCCCGTGGGTTCAAAATGATCACAAGAACGGTGAGCAAAAATCCCAGAACCACACGGGTGGACCTAGTGAATGACCTGCAGAGAGCTGGGACCAAAGTAACAAAGCCTACCATCAGTAACACACTACGCCGCCAGGGACTCAAATCCTGCAGTGCCAGATGTGTCCCCCTGCTTAAGCCAGTACATGTCCAGGCCCGTCTGAAGTTTGCTAGTGTGCATTTGGATGATCCAGAAGAGGATTGGGAGAATGTGATATGGTCAGATGAAACCAAAATAGAAATGTTTGGTAAAAACTCAACTCGTCGTGTTTGGAGGACAAAAAATGCTGAGTTGCATCCAAAGAACACCATACCTACTGTGAAGCATGGGGGTGGAAACATCATGCTTTGGGGCTGTTTTTCTGCAAAGGGACCAGGACGACTGATCCGTGTAAAGGAAAGAATGAATGGGGCCATGTATCGTGAGCTTTTGAGTGAAAACTTCCTTCCATCAGCAAGGGCATTGAAGATGAAACGTGGCAGTGTCTTTCAGCATGACAATGATCCCAAACACACCGCCCGGGCAACGAAGGAGTGGCTTCGTAAGAAGCATTTCAAGGTCCTGGAGTTGCCTAGCCAGTCTCCAGATCTCAACCCCATAGAAAATCTTTGGAGGGAGTTGAAAGTCCGTGTTGCCCAGCGACAGCCCCAAAACATCACTGCTCTAGAGGAGATCTACATGGAGGAATGGGCCAAAATACCAGCAACAGTGTGTGAAAACCTTGTGAAGGCTTACAGAAAACGTTTGACCTGTGTCATTGCCAACAAAGGGTATATAACAAAGTATTGAGAAACTTTTGTTATTGACCAAATACTTATTTTCCACCATAATTTGCAAATAAATTCATTAAAAATCCTACAATGTGATTTTCTGGATTTTTTTTTCTCATTTTGTCTGTCATAGTTGACGTGTACCTATGATGAAAATTACAGGCCTCTCTCATCTTTTTAAGTGGGAGAACTTGCACAATTGGTGGCTGACTAAATACTTTTTTTCCCCACTGTATGTATGTTGTCTGTTTGTATAGAATGTTTTCATGTTTAAACTTTGCAGATGTAAATTAGCTGTTAGCTAAATCTGGTGCAATGCGTCACTTCTCACTTCTAAACCATATATTTTGTTGTACTGTAACCACGTTTTATGCGAATAAAGTCATACCGGATTTTTAAAAGAAATCACGATAGCTGTGATGGAAACAGGACGTTTCTGTACAATTTTATAAATGCAGACAGATCATTTGTTTGATCGACATGGTGGGATCTTTTTGTGTCTGTAAAATTAATTATGTGAGAAATTGCGGAGGAAACGCCTTTTTGTGCAAATATTGATATAACAACCATCATATTGAAGTCATTGTAGCCAAAGTAATGGCCTGCAAAACATTTTTATACATGGCCCTAAGCATTATGGGATGTTAATTGCTTAATTAACTCAGGAATCACACCTGTGTGGAAGCACCTGCTTTCAATATACTTTGTATCCCTCATTTACTCAAGTGTTTCCATTATTTTGGCAGTTACACGTATAGATTTACCTGTAGAGTAGAAGCAACTTTTCATCTAAGTTAGTTAGTTTATTCTGCATTTGACAAGTACTGTAACTCAAGTAAGTTAGTTAATTCTGCATTTGACAACTCTTGATATCTTTGTTTTTCTTCCTTCCATCTTCCCGGTCTCTTTTCCTTGATACATACTTTTCTTTCTCTGCCTTCCTCCACACCTTATTTCCTCTCCTTGCTATCTATCCCCTCCTCTCCTTCTCTCTCTCAGAGCTGGGGGAGATCCGTAACGTGACCACCTCTAAGCCGTCTCTTGAGCTGGATGGTCTGGAGAAGTACACCAACTACAGCATCCAGGTGCTGACCTTCACCCGGGCAGGGGACGGGGTGCGCAGCGAGCAGATCTTCACCCGCACCAAGGAGGACGGTACGCACACCTGTAGACCAGGACACCTCAGGCACTGATCTAGGATCAGCTTACCCTCCCTAAATTCTAACCTTAACTAGTAGGGGGAAGATGCAAAGCTGACCTTAGATCTGTGTGTAGGGGAAACTGCATCATACTAAATTGGGGTCAACCTAGAGGTCAGGGGTCAACTTGCAGGTCAACTGTGCCTAGATCCGCATATCCCCTCTTGCATTATGAAAGAGCGTTTTGCCAAGTAGAACAATTTTGACAGGACTTTGGTGTGAAATTATAGAAATATGAGTTGACAATCGGTGCAGATGACTCACATTAGTAAGTGAAAAACTGCAGCTCCTGCATTTTGCAGATCGCCATGTAGCATAAGAAGTTAAGGCACGCTCACTGGAATTACTGATTTTGACACTGGCAAAATTAAAATACAGAGTGGTTTCCTTAGATGTTGCTCAAAACAAGGATAAGGGTAATAATGTATATTTCCCTATTTCACGGTTTTCCCTCACCAGTCCCTGGTCCTCCGGCTGGGGTGAAGGCAGCGGCGGCGTCTAACTCAGTGGTGTTTGTGTCGTGGCTCCCTCCTCTCAAACTCAACGGCATCATCAGGAAATACACCGTCTTCTGCTCTAACCCACACCCCACGGTAAGGAGGGCATAGAGTACAGGGTCTCAGAGTACAGTGATGAAGGCATGTCAGTGGTGGGCATACAGTAAATTTGAGGCCTAACATAATTGGAGGAGAGGGAGGCACCAGGTTCAGGGGCTAGACTAGATAAGGTACTGCTGGCATGAGAGGTCTTATAAAGCATCCCTCCATCTCACATTGTCAAGGTTGTGTCATCAGTGTTCAGCTCCAAGGATTGATAGTTTGTTACGAACATTTGCAATAGGTCCTGTATCTCTCTGCTAACATCATGCCGGTCTCTCCCCTCCTACAGGTGAGCAGTGAGTTTGAAGCAGCTCCAGACATCTTCTTTTACCGTATCCCCAACCTGAGCAGGAACCGTCAGTACAGCATCTGGGTGGTGGCCGTCACCGCAGCTGGCCGCGGCAACGCCAGCGACATCATCACCGTCAAGCCCCTGGCCGAGGGTAGGTGGAGCTTATGGTTTCACTTCTCAGTATCCAGGAGCAGATGATAACAAAAGGTGTCTCAGTCTCTGAATGTTTTTAGAACACACAAAATATGATATTTGAGTAGTTTTTTTTGTCAAAAACTTGATCAGAGCATCAGAAACATTTAAAGGGGTACAACCCTGAGAAACTCTCCCTATGAGGTACCTAACTAAGGTGAGAAAAGAAAAGATGAGACTATACTATCCCCGCCCCCTATCTCAGGATGTGAATGTGGAAAAAAACCGAATGCGAATAGGTCTGCTATTCCACCCTGTCAGCACTGTGCTTCTTTGTGAGAGCTGATAAGCTGAGGGTGAGCAGTGATAGGCGGTGTAGTGGTTAGTCAGGAACTCTGCTTTATCTGGACGTTCTCATCCTGTTAGAGGCAGGGGTGATGAATGTAGTCCCCACTCTGGAGCTCCAGACCTGATGTGTTTTAGAAATCCGTCTGCTGCCCGACCAGCCTTGTCCCAAACAGATCACTTTACATCTGTACAAGCACAGAGATGGGATCTGCATGTGTAGAGGAGGTGAATTCAATAGAGATGGATAAGGAACTAATATTGTATACTGCTTTTATAGAGCTTCCCTTGAAAGTATTTGGGATTGAGTTCTACTTTTGGGAGTATTCCATTACTTTTGTTGTACCAAGCAAACTAAATCAAGTCAACCCAAGTATTTAAAAGTATTTGACCCAGTTGTGGTGGGTTTGTGTGTGTGCAGCTCCTGCTCAGATCCTGACGTTCAACGGCACCGTGACCACACCCTGGATGAGGGACATCGTGTTGGCCTGTAAGGCGGTGGGCGACCCAGCCCCCACGGTCAAGTGGCTCAAGGAGACGTGAGTACAGGAAAGTCTGACCCACAGCTGAGGAAAGACATCATGCTGCATGTAGGACAGACAGTAGCACTTAGTACAGACTGTGTTTTGAGTCACTTTTAATTTAACTAAATACCAGTGAAAATACAGTGGCTCTTTGGAATGCCAATTTTCACTGAAGACCATATAAATGTTTTTACAGTATCCTTTCATACTCATGAGCAGAATGTTAAAAAATCATAGTTGTTTACATATACAGCATATTCCTACACACATAAAAGTAGTGTAACATTATCCAAGACTTTTCAATGATTTTCTCTGCTGTGTATCTCACCGTAGTTCATAGTCTGACTGTCTCTCGTACATTTGTGATTCAGCAATGGAAGCCCCGCCCCTGCTATGATCGACAGTAGGCGCATCGTCCAGGGCAACGGCAGCCTAGTCATCCGCACAGTGAAAGCTGAGGATTCTGGGAACTACACCTGTGTGGCTAGCAACAGTTTTGGGCCAGATAAAATCATCCTCAACCTACAGGTTCAAGGTAATCAGAAGGAGTCTGTGGTGGAACAGTACAGTATACCAGTCCTCAATTCAAACCAATCCTCCATTTATTGATGATCATAAAATCAGAAATGTGTTCACGGTATGTAGTGAACTGAAAGGATATAATCATATATGCCCCTTGAGATAGGACCTAATTAAAATCCATGATTTTACTTCTAGTTCCCCCAGACCAGCCTCGTCTTACCGTTACCAAGACGACCACCACGTCCATCACTCTGTCCTGGATACCAGGAGACAACGGAGGCAGCTCCATCAGAGGTCAGACATCAACACAGCAAGCAGCAACACTAACTATTATAGGATATTTTTTGTTTTACCTTGGAAAACAGGTTACTGTTAAATAGTGTCCCCTATGAGCAACACCAGAATGGTTGTTTAGCAGACGACAGTGTATCATCCTAACCTCTCTCTCTCACATCAGGCTACATCTTGCAGTACTCAGAGGACAACAGTGAGCAGTGGGGCAACTTTGCCATCAGCCCTAGTGAGCGTTCCTATCGCCTGGAGAACCTGAAGTGTGGCACCTGGTACAAATTCACACTGACGGCACAGAATGCTGTGGGGCCAGGGCGAATCAGTGAGATCATCGAAGCAAAGACTCATGGGAAAGGTAGGGAGATGGTGACATCCTTTTACGTATGTTTTTTATGAAATAGTGACTCCATTGCTTTTACACAATTAATACAAAACTGATACTTATGAAAGGACCTCTCATTAAAGTGTGTGTGTGGTCTGACTCCTCTCTCCCCAACAGAACCCCAGTACTCTAAAGAACAGGAGCTCTTCACCAGTATCAACGCCACGCGTGTCAGGCTCAACCTGATTGGCTGGAACAACGGCGGCTGTCCAATCACATCCTTCACGTTGGAGTACCGTTCGGTGGTGTCTCCCACGTGGACCACGGCCCAGCGCACCTCTCTGATCAAGAGCTACATCCTGTATGACCTGGCCGAGGCCACCTGGTACGAATTGCAGATGAAGGTGTTCAACAGCGCCGGCTCAGCAGAGAAGAGGGTCAAGTTCGCCACACTCAGCTACGACGGCAGTGAGTTCACTTGTCTCTTCACTGATGCTATACATACTGCAGCAACTGATAAGTTGAAAGATATACACGCTTAGATTGACTTATTCAGGATATCTGAATGAAGATTGAAGAACTGTAGTTTAAATTGCATTTACCTCCCCATCCCTTGAAAATTGTCACAACTGATCGAGTCTCCATCAAAGACGTTAATTTACCGGCGTAGGTACTATACCTGCCTTAGAGCAGAAGTAAATTAATTCATATTTTGCTGTTTACTGGTGCTGCCATTAAAGAAGCTGTCTCATGCACGTCTCTCCCTGGGCCAGGCCTAACTGATGAATGGGGCAGTAAAGTACCTCCAATAGATTTTCTGCTGACTCCAGTGGCCGTGGCGGTTGTTGTGTCGGCTGCTGCTGTTTATGTCGCCTCCATCACGGCCCTATCGAGCGCTCTGCGCTGCATGAATTAAATCATTCTGTGATCTACTGACTGCAGAGGGGCTAGAGCGAGGCAACAGATGAGCAATCACCTGCCAGTGCCAACACCCCCCAGTCCCTTAGCGATTCAATGGTCTTACCCAACCCTAAACCTTACACACTCTCTCTCTCACACACACACACCGCCCCCATCATTCCATCCCCCAGCCATCCAGGAAGTATAAAAGGGAAAAAGAGCTGACTATTCAGCTAAGAAGGAAGAGTTCACCTCTTGTAAGTAGTGCTTCAGTCAACTGGGCATTATTGGCAATTTGGCAGAAGGTCAGGTGCTGACTGCAGCCAGTGCAGTGCTGCAGCAGCTTGTTGGAGCAGATTGAGTGGGATTGCTGGGAAAGACATTTCGATTGGGATGTAAGCCGCAGACGCACTATTACCTTTTGCCAGGCACTTGCTGCATGTTTTAAACATTAACACAAAGGTTATTTAGTATTAATCGACAGACCCTGTAAAGACTTAATAGACACTGAGCATACAAAACGTTAAGTACACCTTCCTAATATTGAGTTTCACTCCCCCCCATGTTGGCTCCAATGTTTCCCACAGTTGTGTCAAGTTGGCTGGATGTGTTTTGGTTGGTGGACCATTCTTGATACACATGGGAAACTGTTGAGCGTGAAAAACCCAGCAGCTTTGCAGTTTTTGACACAAACTGGTGCGCCTGACACCTACTACCATACCCCATTCATAGGCACTTTAATCTTTTGTCTTGCCCATTCACCCTCTGAATGGCACACATTGTCTCATCCATTTCTCAATTGTCTCAAGGCTTAAAAATCCTTATTTAACCTGTGGATTTAACAAGTGACATCAATAAGGGATCATAGCTTTAAACTTGGATACTTCAAATAAAATAAAATGTATTTGTCACATGCGCCGAATACAACAGGTGTAGACCTTACCGTGAAATGCTTACTTACAAGCCCTTAACCAACAATGCAGTTTTAAGAAAATAGAGTTAAGAAAATATTTACTAAATAAACGAAAGTACAAAAATTAAAACTAACACAAAATAACAATAATGAGGCTACAGTTGAAGTTGGAAGTTTACATACACCTTAGCCAAATACATTTAAACTCAGTTTCACAATTCCTGACATTTAATCCTAGTAAAAATTCCCTGTCTTAGGTCAGTTAGGATCACCACTTTATTTTAAGAATGTGAAATTTCAGAATAATAGTAGAGAGAATGATTTATTTCAGCTTTAATTTCTTTCATCACATTCCAAGTAAGTCAGAAGTTTACATACACTCAATTAGTATTTGGTAGCATTGCCTTTAAATTGTTTAACTTGGGTCAAATGTTTCGGGTAGCCTTCCACAAGCTTCCCACAATAAGTTGGGTGAATTTTGGCCCATTCCTCCTGACAGAGCTGGTGTAACTGAGTCAGGTTTGTAGGCCTCCTTGCTCGCACACACTTTTTCAGTTCTGCCCACAAATCTTCTATAGGATTGAGGTCAGGGCTTTGTGATGGCCACTCCAATACCTTGACTTTGTTGTCCTTAAGCCATTTTGCCTCAACTTTGGAAGTATGCTTGGGGTTATTCTCCATTTGGAAGACCCATTTGCGACCAAGCTTTAACTTCCTGACTGATGTCTTGAGATGTTGCTTCAATATATCCACATAATTTTCCTTCCTCATGATGCCATCTATTTTGTGAAGTGCACCAGTCCCTCCTGCAGCAAAGCACCCCCACAGCATGATGCTGCCCCCCCCTGCTTCACGGTTGGGATGGTGTTCTTCGGCTTGCAAGCTACCCCGTTTTTCCTCCAAACATAACGATGGACATTATGGCCAAACAGTTTGATTTTTGTTTCATCAGGCCAGAGGACATTTCTCCAAAAAGTACGATCTTTGTCCCCATGTGCAGTTGCAAACCGTAGTCTGGCTTTTTTATGGCGGTTTTGGAGCAGTGGCTTCTTCCTTGCTGAGGGGCCTTTCAGGTTATGTCGATATAGGACTCGTTTTACTGTGGATATAGATACTTTTGTACCTGTTTCCTCCAGCATCTTCACAAGGTCCTTTGCTGTTGTTCTGGGATTGATTTGCACTTTTCGCACCAAAGTACGTTCATCTCTAGGAGACAGAACGCGTCTCCTTCCTGAGCGGTATGATTGCTGTGTGGTCCCATGGTGTTTATACTTGCGTACTATTGTTTGTACAGATGAACGTGGTACCTTCAGGCGTTTGGATGAAACAGACTTGTGGAGGTCTACCATTTTTTTTTCTGAGGTCTTGGCTGATTTCTTTTGATTTTCCCATGATGTCAAGCAAAGAGGCACTGAGTTTGAAGGTAGGCCTTGAAATACATCCACAGGTACACCTCCAATTGACTCAAATGATGTCAATTAGCCTATCAGAAGCTTCTAAAGCTTCTACACATCATTTTCTGGAATTTTCCAAGCTGTTTAAAGGCACAGTAAACTTAGTGTATGTAAACGTCTGACCCACTGGAATTGTGATACAGTGAAATAATCTGTCTGTCCAACAATTGTTGGAAAGATTACTTGTGGCATGCACAAAGTAGATGTCCTAACCGACTTGCCAAAACTATAGTTTGTTAACAAGAAATTTGTTGAGTGGTTGAAAAACAAGTTTTAATGACTCCAACCTAACTTCCGACTTCAACAGTATATACAGGGGGTACCGGTACCGAGTCAATGTGCGGGGTTACAGGTTAGTCAAGGTAATTTGTACATGTAGGTAGGGGTAAAGTGACTATGCATAGATAATAAACAGCGAGTAGCTGGGGAAGGGGGGGGGGGGGGGGGTCAATGCAAATAGTCTTGGTGGCCATTTGATTAATTGTTCACCAGTCTTATGGCTTGGGGGTAGAAGCTGTTAAGGAGCCTTTTGGACCTCTCTCTGCTACTGCTTGCCGTGCGGTAGCAGAGAGAACAGTCTATGACTTGGGTGACTGGAGGCTTTGACTACCTGGTCAGTCTATGTCATGGAAATGTTTTGTACACTCAGTGTATATTTGTATTTGGCTGGTTTTCTGCAGTCATTGTCGTGTCTACCAGGTCTGGTTTGCACACTTGACAATCCTGTAGTTAAGTACAAGAAACCTACATGGTCTTGTCATAACACATATCCTAACAGTTTGTCAGCTAATTACATTTCTATGACCTGTCCCCAGGTACCATCGCTCCCCTGGTGAAATCCCCGACGGTGAGCGCGGGCAGTACGTCCAGTAACGAGGGTCTGAAAATGGTGACCATCATCTCGTGTGTGCTGGTGGGCATCGTGCTGGTCTTCATCCTGCTACTAGTGCTCAGGAGGAGGAGGAGGGAACAGAGACTGAAGAGGCTCAGAGGTGAGAGGTCACAGCAGCAACATGTTACCACCTGATTGGTTAGATTCCAGTAAGATTTCTGTAACTATTGCCAAACTATTTTCAAGTATACTATTGTAATGTGATTTTTGTTCTTGTTTGCTCTGTAGATGCTAAAAGTTTAGCCGAGATGCTGATGAGGTAAGCATGAGCAGTTTGACATATAACTTCATAGATAGTTACTATTGTTTAATGCATTACTGGAAGAAGAAAACATTCAATACTGTGTCTATGGAATCATATCAGAATCACCATTATCTGAATATATTATGCAGTGTGTAATGAGATCTGCATTGACCTGTATGGCGTTTCCTGTGTTCCCCATGCAGTAAAAACACGCGACCTGCAGACACCATCAACAAGCAGCAGCAGACCATGAGAATGCACATCGACATCCCCCGAGCCCAGCTGCTCATAGAGGAGAGAGACACCATGGAGACAGTCGGTGAGTGGACACTTTGATATATTATGCTGCTTTCACTGAATTATCGGAAACTTGGGACTTAAACTTCCGGAAAGCTACCAGACACGTCATAACTCATAATGAGCTTCCAATTAGGACATACGAGTGGGAAATTTGTGTAACATTGGATAACAATGTGTGAATATCACATATTTGTGGCCTTCCAAGTGTTAGTAGTGCCTACTGTGGCTATTGTCATCGTACTGTAGAGACCATGTTTGTGAAATGTCTCTTTCTCTTTCAGATGACAGGTCTACAGTGCTACTGACTGACAATGACTTTGGGGAGACCCAGAAACAGAAGTCGTCTACGGTTACCCACACTGTCCACTACCAGTCCCTGTCCCAGGCCACCGGACCTCTAGTGGACGTATCTGACGCTAGGCCAGGAACCAGTAAGTCCAGTACGAACATCCTCTTTACTTTACTAGAGGCAAAACTAGAATTAATAAGTGGGATCAGGATTGCATTCATACAGCTGTAACTGATACAGCTAGAATGTATTCTAGACAACCAGATTGGCCTTATTCAGCTCCAGTCTTCAGAGAGTTATCAGTAGCATTATGAACACTGCCATTACCATCTCCACTGATGTTATTCACACTGATGAACAATTCCTTTCAGCACAATGGCTATTGCTGTTATATTATTTACAATTCTGAACATGAATGATTATATACAGTGTCTTCAGAAAGTATTCATACCCATCTACTCACAATACCTCATAATGACAAAGTGAAAACATGTTTTTCGAAATTGTAGCAAATGTATTGAAAATGAAATGCAGAAATATCTCATTTACGTAAGTATTCACACCGCTGAGTCAATACTTTGTAGAAGCACCTTTGGCAGCGATTACAGCTGTGAGTCTTTCTGAGTAAGTCTCTAAGAGCTTTCCACACCTGGATTGTACAACATTTGCCCATTATTCTTTTCAAAATTCTTCAAGCTCTGTCAAATTGGTTGTTGATCATTGCTAGACAACCCATTTAAGTCTTGCCATATATTTTCAAGTATGTTTAAGTCAAAACTGTAACTCGGTCACTCAGGAACATTCACTGTCTTTTTGGTAAGCAACTCCAGTGTGGGTCCCCTGTAGCTCAGTTGGTAGAGCATGGCGCTTGCAACGCCAGGGGGGCCGATATGAAAAATGTATGCACTCACTAACTGTAAGTCGCTCTGGATAAGAGCGTCTGCTAAATGACTAAAATGTAAAAAGTAGATCTGGCCTTGTGTTTTAGGTTATTGTCCTGCTGAAAGAGAATTTATCTCCCAGTGTCTGGGGGAAAGCAGACTGAACCAGGTTTTCCTCTAGGATTTTTCCTGTGCTTCATGATTTGCCTGTGCTTAACTCCCCAGTTCTTAATGATTACAAGCATACCCATAACATGATGCAGCCACCACAATGCTTGAAAATATGGAGAGTGGAACTCAGGAATGTGTTGTATTAGATTTTCCTAAAACATAACACTTTGTATACATTTTTTCCCCCACATTTTTTGGCAGTATTACTTTAGTGCCTTCTTGCAAACAGGATGCATGTTTTGGAATATTTTATTCTATACAGGCTTCCTTCTTTTAATTAGGTTAGTATTGTGGAGTAACTACAATGTTGTTGCTCCATCCTCAGTTTTCCCTTATCACAGCCATTAAACTCTGTAACTGTTTTAAAATCACCATTGGCATCATGGTGAAATCCCTGAGCAGTTTCCTTCCTCTCCGGCAACTGAGTTAGGAAGGATGCATGTATCTTTGTAGTGACTAGGTGTATTGATACACCATACAAAGTGTAATTAATAACTTTACCATGCTCAAAGGGATATTCCCACGGGGGGCCAGTATGAAAATAAAAAAGAATAATGTATGCATTAACTGTAAGTCGCTCTGGATAAGAGCGTCTGCTAAATGACGTAAATGTAAATGTAAAATATTCAATGTCAACTTTTTTTTTTTTTACCCATCTACCTATAGGTGCCCTTCTTTGCGAGGCATTGGAAAACCTCCCTGGTCTTTGTGGTTGAATCTGTGTTTGAAATTCACTGCTTGACTGAGGGACATTACAGATAATTGTATGTGTGCAGTACAGAGTTGAGGTTGTTATTCAAAATTCATGTTAAACGCTAGTATTGCATACAGAGTGAGTCCATGCAACTTATTATGTAACTTGTTAAGCACATTTTTACTTCTGAACTTATTTAGGCTTGTTATAACAAAGGGGTTGAATACTTATTGACTCAAGACATTTCAGCTTTTAAGTTTTAATTAATTTGTAAACATTTCGAAAAACATAATTCCACTTTCACATTATGGGGTATTGTGTGTGGCCCAATGACAAAAACATCTAAATGTAATCCATTTCGAATTCAGGCAGTAGCACAACAAAATGAGGAAAAAGCCAAGGGGTATGAATACTTTCTGAAGGCACTGTATGTGTATGGTTTCCAACCCAATTTGCAGAGGACTACAGTCAACCCAATCAATCTCTTTGACCATGATGGTTTCCTCACTGCTATTGTAAGTTCCATTTATTTGTGTGAAAACAAGAAATCCCGAGATGAACTCCATGTGCAGAGATATTGTGAAGGTGGGGTTTTCTCATTGTTGATATATGTCAGGATAGAGAGTGTCCAGCCTCATTGCTATAGCCAGCTACACACTTACAGTCACCTTTAAAAACACACAGTCAGCTTAAAAAACAGAGCAGTACTTGAGATGATCCCTTGCTAAGTGACATAACACCCTGGTGTGTGACTGTGATGTAACATCCTGTATCCTTCCTCCTCAGACCCCACAGCCCGCCGCACAGCCAAAGCAGGCCCTGCCGCACGCAACCGCTACGCTAGCCAGTGGACCCTGAACCGACCACACCCGCCAGTCTCGGCCCACACCCTGAGCACTGACTGGAGGCTGCCCACGCCACGGGTGGCTGGCTCTGTGGACAAGGAGAGTGACAGCTACAGTGTCAGCCCATCTCAGGACACAGGTAACAACGCACCAGAAGACGAGACAAGTCTGTAACAACAGCTGTAACAGTCCCCATATGAGAATGTCTGCAACATCACCATTAACCATATCTATAACAAAACCTCTCACCTCTGTAATAACAATAGATAGGCCTACTATAAAAATGTTAACAATGCCAACACTTAATAACAAGTCTAATGCTAGCGTTAGCCCCTAACTGCTCTACTAGCACGGCCTCTAACCCTAACCACTGGTGTAGACCGAGCGCGGAGCAGCATGGTGTCCACAGAGAGCGCGTCATCCACCTATGAGGAGCTGGCGCGGGCCTATGAGCACGCCAAAATGGAGGAACAGCTGCGCCACGCCAAGTTCACCATCACAGAGTGCTTCATCTCGGACACGTCGTCGGAGCAGATGACGGCGGGCACCAACGACTACACAGACAGCCTGACGTCCAGCACGCCCTCCGAGTCAGGCATCTGCAGGTTCACCGCCTCCCCGCCCAAGCCGCAGGACGTCAGCCGAGTCATGAACATGGCCGTGCCCAAGGCTCACAGACCGGGTGAGGCCGCGTAGACACATAGCTAACTCTGCTGTAGCTAACTCTGAGTCCTGAGCTCTGTTACTAACCTGTGGCTAACCTTCCCTAGCCTTCATCCTGCCTGTAATGCTATGGGTTGAGGTCCCCCCCCCAAGCCCTAACCCTATTGCTAACCTTAACTTTCACTCTAAAACCTAACACAGACTCTTCATAGATATACTGTGGGGTTAGTCTATGCTCAACTATAGCTGAATCGAATAACTCTGTGTCGTAACATTTCAAGGTATTTTGTTATTTTTTAATATGGAATAAAAAATAAACCAACTCTGTAATAGCCATTTAAAACACAAAGCTGGTCAGTCAGACCAAACAAATCGATTCAGGGCCATTTCCCTCTCTCTCATAAATGTCAGCCCAATCAGAACATATCCCAGTGTTTGGGGTTTGTAAATATTTACTGCTGATATATTAACTCAAATGTTCTGAAGATAATGGCGTAGTAATGCTCTACAACTACTTGAAGCAACAAATGTGGAGTTTTGCAGACAGTTCTTTGCATAAATTAAATATGTTTTAAGGTTAATGTATTCATTCATTACTTAAGCTTATTTTATTGACTATAGTGCGACAAAATTCCATTGCAGGATGACCAATCTTTAACATTGAACCACTCAAATCTGTAATCTGCTATGAGGTCACTTCATCTTATAAATTCAGTCTATTCTAGTTAAAGTCATCATCTCTAGTCATTCTATTTTTGGCTCATTATAGAGTATATTTTATTAAACTCAGACTTTGTAGACTACTCAGATAAATGTGTAATAAACTGCACTAGAGTCTTAAATATATAACATTACTTATTTAGGTTATAGAAAAGCCACAGTCTCCTTCTTCATCCATTACCCCAATGCATATAATGAGATATGGGGGGGCTTTAAACAACATTGTAAAATATTGCCATTCATTTAATGTTGGTCAAGGCCAAAGTCAGATGAAGGACATGACGATAGATTGCAGCATGGCGGTATGAAAATAATTAATCACTGAAGTATTCTTTGGCATATAACCTCAATAACCATGCAAAGTTGTATACTTAAATAGGCTATCAGAATCTATAGATGACTTTCACATACTGTGTAAGCTAGTTTTGTTGGTTGGAGTGGCAGATGTGATGAGCTTGTATCTGAGGAGTAAAGAAAGTTATATTTCCACCCAACCCTTCCCCCAGGGGCAGTAATTTCTCTACTGAAGTATTTTGAACTGAGATTTTTCCATAATTTCACTGGCCATATTATATGTTTAATTCAATGGGGTTGTTTTCCAAAAACTAACTCCCCTCTCTCGCTCCTTTGTCCTGTAGGGGGCGAGCTTGTGCACCTGCCTCCTTACCTGCGCATGGACTTCCTGCTGAACCGTGGCATGTCGTGCTCAGGCACTGGAGGGAGGGGTGGTGCTGGGGGGGAAGGGGCCATGGGTCAGGCCTGTCTGGAACCCCAGAAGAGTCGCTCCCTGAAGCGGCCGTCGCGTATGGCGCCCCCTACACCCACAGAGGCCCCCCAGGCCACCAGCAGGGCCAGCAGCAGGGACACAGTGGCCCAGTGGCAGCCCGGCTCAGCCGCCACCCTGCCTCACAGAGAGGGCTCAGAGCTGGCCCAGGCCGCCAAGCTCAGCATCTCCCAGGAGTCCCTACTGGACTCACGAGGACACCTCAAACAGACCAACAACCCCTACGCAAAGTCCTATACGCTGGTATAACACCAGGGGTATGGGGCTGGACTAAAACTCACACTAACACTGGACTTATTACACTTACAAGTGCAGTAAACTGGCTCACCACACAGTCCTGTATATAACGTCCCCTTTCTTCTTAAACGAGGGATAACTTTTACTAATCTCCTTTTATTTATTTTGGAGCTTTCTTTGTTTTTTAAACTTGTGAGAAAATTCACTCATCTGAAATGACTCCACGCGGAGCTTGCCAAAATAATTACATTATGAGGGAACATAATTTATTATTTATTATTATTTTTAATTATGAATTATTAATCAGTGATTATTTGTTGTTAGTTGTCAACTATTAATGATTATTAATTATTGATTACAAATGATTAATTATTACCATTACTACACTGTTTTAATAAGAACCTGGATAATTTTTTTCCGGAGTGTGAGACGATAATTTGGAGCCTGTAATTTTTTTTCTTTGGAAAGTTCCTTTTAAACGCTGAAATCTGGGAATGAAAGTAATCGACACCAGTCCAAACTTATCAGCTGCTCTCAAATTGTTACTTTTTTGAAGAAAAAAAAAATCTATTTCCTATGGATACATGGGGACTGACCAATTAAAGACTATTATAAGGATTATGATCACGACTGGACAGCCCAGTTGAGCATTTTGTCACACTATGAAATGATTCAATGTGAAGATTTATTATTCTTATTACTATAAATATATATATAAAAAGATAAATCACTTTTATTTGTGGATATTACAGGGAAGATTTGATTTGGTTAATAAAGTCCTTAGTCATGTTTGCACATATCTCGTTTGGATTAGGAAATGGAGCCTCTGTTGATCTTTCTCTGTATTCCATTCTCTGATGGTGCAATATGAAAAAAGATTATGAAAATTATATGGATACTATTTGCTCTATACTGTACTATAATGAAAATAATTACTATGTTGTGAGTATACTTACAGGGCGGGACAAACCCCAGCTATGTATCAGGTGTAGTTTACCACTGCTAATTTGCCAGGGTGGTAGATGAAGTTAGCTAGAACAGGGAGTGTTAGAGATATAACGGTTTGCACGTCACGACACCCAAAAAGTGTGTCCAGACAGAGCCCCTATTCTCAGTGCACTAGGTAGAGTCTTCAAGACTCTCACTCTCCTCTTCAGTAGATTTACTGTTGCTGCATTGCAGTGATGCTCCTCTACAGGGAAAAAACAATGAGACAATCCAACAGAATCCCCCCTTCAAACCAAACCTAAAGTCTATGGGAAATAACTATCTAAAGTGTGGATATAACAAAACTGTCTTGTTGTCTACCCTGGCCCATTTCTTTCTTTCTTTTTTTAAGTCCTGGAGGGAGAGTTTGATAAGAATGCTGTGAGGTCATTAATGCCAGTTTTTATGATTAGTTTTAATTAATTGTCTTCATATTCCTTTTAACAAAATGTCGCTTTTTATTTTTAACATGGTGTTCACCATGGTGGCACTGAAATAAAGAGAAATTAACACACCGTTCAAATTTGATTAATAAAAAAGGCTGTTCCTCAAATGATCCTGCAAATTTGGACATGAATGACTGGAGATGGGTCTTTTTAGAGACACTGATAGAGGAGGATGCCTCCGAAGGTTGTCCTGTGTGGGTAGTGGGTCACTGGGGGAGTGAGTGAGTTGAGTGAATGGGGTGGTAGTGGTGGATTGTTGGGTAACTCATCTTAAAGGGCAACTGAACGCAAAAACCAACTTCTCTGGTTGAAAACGGCCTATGTGGCATCGATATGTCAGAAACATTTATTCCAGTGTAAGTAGAATTTCTTTGGTCATAAAGTCAGTATATTCCAAAACAGAGTTTTGTGAGATTTGTGTAAGTGAGGTTGTCAAGACTTACATGAGGGTTGGGTTTGGATTACAATCATGCCCACTAAAATGGGATTGTATCGCCAAGGGAGAATTGTCATGCACTGAGAAATGAATGCGGTGATTGCGCTCTATCCAATCGTAGCAGCGAACCTCCAGACAATGAAACAGACCTGCCCATTAAGCAACTCCTCGGACTCTGACTTGTTTAAATAAAACATCTTGTCGCTAATGTTATGTTGAAAGAACACTTGGCCCCTAAGCCCTTTATGGGGTGGCCACTTGCTGATGTGTTTGATAGTGATCACTCAAGTCTGCCACTGTTTTGGGCAAAATGAGAATTGAGACGATGTGCACTTGCATCCGGACTGCCTCTTGTCAATATTCCAAAATTCATAACCCTTTCGAGAGCGTCTTGTGTCCCACCGCGACTTGTTTTGACTAGAATTTCATGCAAATTTTTTTACTTGAGAAATACTGCACTAAACACCTTAGCTAGATGTCAAATTGTGCAACTAAGACCTCTGCAAAAATGGGAAAATTAATTACAGATTTCTTCACTTATCTTAGATTAATTCGAAAACTATTTTGAGGAAGTGGTAGTGGCTATGTTGTTGCTATTGTGCCTTAAGAGGGACAAACAACAGTAACTGCCTGGGTACGATAAATCAAACATAACACACCCACACCGAACCATACCCCCAAGACTCAAATCTCGTTTATCTTATTTTAAATATATACAGTACCAGTCAAAAGTTTGGACACACCTACTCATTCTAGGGTTTTTCTTAAGTTTTACTATTTTCTACATTGTAGAATAATAGTGAAGGCATCAAAACTATGAAATAACACATATGGAATCATGTAACCAAAAAAGTGTTAATCAAATCAAAATATTTTTTTATATTTGAGATTCTTCAAATAGCCAACCTTTGCCTTGATGAAAGCATTGCACACTCTTGGCATTCTCTCAACCAGCTTCACCTGGAATCCAACTGTCTTGAAGGAGTTCCCACATATGCTGAGCACTTGTTGGCTGCTTTTCCTTCACTCTGCCGTCCGACTCATCCCAAACCATCTCAATTGGGTTGAGGTCGGGGGATTGTGGAGGCCAGGTCATCTGATGCAGCACTCCATCCCTCTACTTCTTGGTAGAATAGCCCTTACACAGCCTGGAGGTGTGTTGGGTCATTGTCCTGTTGAAAAACAAATGATAGTCCCACTAAGCCCAAACCAGATGGGATGGCGTATCGCTGCAGAATGTGCCTTGAATTCTAAATAAATCACAGACAGTGTCACCAGCAAAGCACCCCCACACCATAACACCTCCTCCTCCATGCTTTACAGTGGGAACTACACATGTGGAGAGGTAACTCTGGGTCTTAAATTCCTGTGGCGGTCCTCATGAGAGCCTGTTTCATTATAGCGCTTGATGGTTTTTGAGACTGCACTTTCAAAGTTCTTGACATTTTCCGGACTGACTGACATCATTTCTTAACGTAATGATGGACTGTCGTTTGTCTTTATTATTTGAGCTGTTCTTGCCATAATATGGACATGGTCTTTTACCAATTAGGGCTATCTTCTGTATACCACCCCTACCTTGTCACAACACAACTGATTTGGCTCAAACGTGGAAAGAAATTCCACAAATTAACTTTTAAGAAGGCACACCTGTTAATTGAAATGTGTTCCAGGTGACTACTTCATGAAGCTGGTTGAGAGAATGCCAAGAGTGTGCAAAGCTGTCATCAAGGCAAATGGTGGCTATTTGAAGAATATCTTTTTTATTCTCCACACCAGATAAAAACATACACACACAAACAACAAATTACAGACACACACAAGCAACAACTATCTCATCTGCCCAGACCCGCATGCTCACACCCCCATCCCTAGTACCTGCATTATTGTTTGCCACATGGCCTTAAATTGTACCAATTTGTTTTTCTTAGTCGCCCATGCTATTTCAATATTTCAATAATAAATCATTAGATTTTCCCATGGTGTTAATGAGGGCGGATTAATTGATTTCCACGTTTTTAAGTATACGTTTTTTCAAGATGAGCGATGAGAAGAGAATCATCCAGCACATTGAGTATCTCTCACTACACCCCCATATGCCATGTCTTGAAATATGTAGACAGATGGATTAAAAGTAAGTTTACATTCTAATACTTCTGACAGCCAACTTTCTAGCTCCGCCCATAACTTTTGAACTTCATAGCATTCCCAGAAAGCATGGATTATTGAGTCATTGTTAGTTTTACACTTTAGACATGACTCTGCCGTTGTGCTGTGGAATTTGTGAATTTTGTCTCTTGTATAATAAATTGTATACATTAGTTTATACTGGATTAAGCGTACATTTCTGACTAACTGTAATTTCATTAGTTATGCTCCAACATTCTCTCCATCTTGTGCCAACATCAGTTATTTTTAAGTCTTGGTTCCAATAGTTTATCTCATTTATCTTAATGAGCAGCAGAAAAACATGTGAATCGGTGAGTTCAGCCACTCTTTAAATGAATTTAAACAACAGTTATTGATGATCATCATATTCATTACAGCACTCACAATACTCAAATTCTCCAAATGAAAATATTGTTTGTACCAATGACCTTGAATGTTTTTTCAGAGCTAAAGATATTAATGAGTGCTAGTTAATAACTTTTGCACAACTCCTTTTCCTGCACCCGCCAGTCTCGGCCCACACCCTGAGCACTGACTGGAGGCTGCCCACGCCACGAGTGACAGCTACAGTGTCAGCCCATCTCAGGACAAAGGTAACAACGCACCAGAAGACGAGACAAGTCTGTAACAACAGCTGTAACAGTCCGCATATAAGAATGTCTGCAACATCACCCTTTACCATGTCTATAACAAAACCTCTCACCTCTGTAATAACAATAGATAGGCCTACTATAAAACTTTTAACAATGCCAACACTTAATAACAAGTCTAATGCTAGCGTTAGCCCCTAACTGCTCTACTAGCACGGCCTCTAACCCTAACCATTGGTGTAGACCGAGCGCGGAGCAGCATGGTGTCCACAGAGAGCGCGTCATCCACCTATGAGGAGCTGGCGCGGGCCTATGAGCACGCCAAAATGGAGGAGCAGCTGCGCCACGGCAAGTTCACCATCACAGAGTGCTTCAACTCGGACACGTCGTCGGAGCAGATGACGGCGGGCACCAACGACTACACAGACAGCCTGACGTCCAGCACGCCCTCTGAGTCAGGCATCTGCAGGTTCACCGCCTCCCCGCCCAAGCCGCAGGACGTCAGCCAAGTCATGAACATGGCCGTGCGCAAGGCTCACAGACTGGGTGAGGCCGCGTAGACACATAGCTAACATTGCTGTAGCAAACTCTGAGTCCTGAGCTCTGTTATTAAACATTGTAAAATATTGCCATTAATTTAATGTTGGTCAAGGCCAAAGTCAGATGAAGGACATGACGATAGATTGCAGCATGGCGGTATGAAAATAATTAATCACTGAAGTATTCTTTGGCATATAACCTCAATAACCATGCAAAGTTGTATACTTAAACAGGCTATCAGAATCTATAGATTACTTTCACATACTGTGTAAACTAGTTTTGTTGGTTGGAGTGGCAGATGTGATGAGCTTGTATCTGAGGAGTAAAGAAAGTTATATTTCCACCCAACCCTTCCCCCAGTGGCAGTCATTTCTCTACTGAAGTATTTTGAACTGAGATTTTTCCATAATTTCACTGGCCATATTATATGTTTAATTCAATGGGGTTGTTTTCCAAAAACTAACTCTCCTCTCTCTCTCCTTTGTCCTGAAGGGGGCGAGCTTGTGCACCTGCCTCCTTACATGCGCATGGACTTCCTGCTGAACCGTGGCATGTCGTGCTCAGGAACTGGAGGGAGGGGTGGTGCTGGGGGGGAGGGGGCCATGGGTCAGGCCTGTCTGGAACCCAAGAAGAGTCGCTCCCTGAAGCGGCCGTCGCGTATGGCGCCCCCTACACCCACAGAGGCCCCCCAGGCCACCAGCAGGGCCAGCAGCAGGGACACAGTGGCCCAGTGGCAGCCCGGCTCAGCCGCCACCCTGCCCCACAGAGAGGGCTCAGAGCTGGCCCTACTGGAGTCCCTACTGGACTCACGAGGACACCTCAAACAGACCAACAACCCCTACGCAAAGTCCTATACGCTGGTATAACACCAGGGGCATGGGGCTGGACTAAAACTCACACTAACACTGGACTTATTACACTTACAAGTGCAGTAAACTGGCTCACCACACAGTCCTGTATATAACGTCCCCTTTCTTCTTAAACGAGGGATAACTTTTACTAATCTCCTTTTATTTATTTTGGAGCTTTCTTTGTTTTTTAAACTTGTGAGAAAATTCACTCATCTGAAATGACTCCACGCGGAGCTTGCCAAAATAATTACATTATGAGGGAACATAATTTATTATGTACTATTATTTTAAATTATGAATTATTAATCAGTGATTATTTGTTGTTAGTTGTCAACTATTAATGATGATTAATTATTGATTACAAATGATCAATTATTACCATTACTACACTGTTTTAATAAGAACCTGGATAACTTATTTCCGGAGTGTGAGACGATAATTTGGAGCCTGTAATTTTTTTTTTATGGAAAGTTCCTTTCAGACACTGAATGAAACTTTGGAAAATCTGAAATTTGCGAATGAAAGCAATTGACAACAGTCCAAACTTATCAGCTGCTCTCAAATTGTTACTTTTCTGAAAGAAAAAAATATATATTTCCTATGGATGCATGGGGTCTGACCAATTAAAGACTAATATAAGGAGTATGATCACGACTGTAGCACAGTTGAGCATTTTGTCAAATGATCCTATGTGAAGATGTATTATTCTTATTACTATAAATATATATATAAAAAGATAAATCACTTTTATTCGTGGATATTACAGGGAATAATTTATTTGGTTAATAAAGTCCTTAGTCATGTTTGCACATATCTCGTTTGGATTAGGAAATGGAGCCTCTGTTGATCTTTCTCTGTATTCCATTCTCTGATGGTGCAATATGAAAAAAGATTATGAAATTATATGGATACTATTTGCTCTATACTGTACTATAATGAAAATAATTACTATGTTGTGAGTATACTTACAGGGCGGGACAAACCCCAGCTATGTATCAGGTGTAGTTTACCACTGCTAATTTGCCAGGGTGGTAGATGAAGTTAGCTAGAACAGGGAGTGTTAGAGATATAACGGTTTGCACGTCACGACACCTGTCAATGATGATGTAGGTGGGTGTGGTGGTGGAATCAGGCGCAGGACGCAGAACGTTAGTCCAACAGACTTTAGTAGATGCACACAAAAACAAGCACTAATAAATGCCCTGAGGCAAAACTCCGCACGTAGGCGAAAATAACGGGCGCACTAACAGGTGCGACAAAACCCTCCAAACAATATGGAGAAATAGCTCAACCGAGCAAACAGTAGAATAACAGCCTACCGGCACGACAGTCAAACAATCACACACAACACTAGACAAACACAACGAGACCTTATAGGACACTAATACACTAAACGATAACAGGTGTAACAACAATCAGACAAAAGCAAACGAACATAGAAACATGCAACGGTGGCAGCTAGTATTCCGGAGACGACGAACGCCGAAGCCTGCCCGAGCAAGGAAGAGAGGCAGCCTCGGCCGAAACCGTGACAGTACCCCCCCCCTTGACGCGCGGCTCCAGACGTGCGCCGACTCCGGCCTCGGGGACGACCAGGAGGACGCGGAGCAGGATGCGTCGGGTGCCCACGATGGAATTCCGTCAGGAGAGACGGGTCCAAAATGTCTCTCCTCGGCACCCAGCACCGCTCCTCCGGGCCGTACCCCTCCCATTCCACTAGATATTGGAGACCCCCCATCCGACGTCTCGAATCCAAGATGGACCGCACGGAGTACGCCGGTGCCCCCTCGATGTCCAATGGGGGCGGAGGAGTCTCCCTGATCTCACTTTCTTGGAGTGGGCCAGCTACCACCGGCCTGAGAAGAGACACATGGAACGAGGGGTTAATACTTTTATACTCAACAGGTAGTTGTAATTTGTAACACACCTCGTTCAACCTTCTCAGGACTTTAAATGGCCCTACAAACCGCCGACCCAGTTTCCGACAGGGCAGGCGGAGGGGCAGGTTTCTGGTAGAGAGCCAGACTCGATCACCAGGTGCGTACACCGGTCCCTCACTGCGGTGGAGATCGGCGCTCGCCTTATGACGACGGAGGGCCCGCTGCAGGTGGACGTGTGCAGCGTTCCATGTCTCCTCCGAGCGCCGCACCCACTCATCCACCGCAGGAGCCTCGATCTGGCTCTGCTGCCAAGGTGCCAGAACTGGCTGGTAACCCAACACACATTGGAAAGGGGTTAGGTTAGTGGAGGAATGGCGTAGGGAATTCTGGGCCATTTCGGCCCAGGGAACGTACCTTGCCCACTCCTCCGGCCGGTCCTGGCAGTATGTTCTAAGAAACCTACCCACATCCTGGTTCACACGTTCCACCTGCCCATTACTCTCCGGGTGGTAACCCGAGGTGAGGCTCACCGAGACCCCCAACCGCTCCATAAAAGCTCTCCAGACTCTGGAGGTAAATTGGGGACCTCGATCAGACACAATATCCTCGGGTACCCCGTAGTGCCGGAACACATGGGTGAATAGTGCTTCAGCGGTTTGCAGGGCAGTAGGAAGGCCCGGCATAGGGAGCAAACAACAGGCCTTAGAAAACCGGTCCACAACGACCAGTATAGTGGTATTCCCCTGTGAAGGAGGAAGGTCAGTGAGGAAATCCACCGAGAGGTGAGACCATGGTCGTTGTGGAACGGGCAGGGGTAATAACTTACCCCTAGGCAGATGTCTAGGCGCCGCAGGAGGAAGCAGGAGGAAACATAAACCCTCACATCCCTTGCCAACGTGGGCCACCAGTACTTGGCACTAAGACAGTGCACTGTCCGGCCGATACCAGGGTGTCCAGAGGAGGGTGACGTGTGAGCCCAATAAATCAATCGATCCCGAACCTCGAGCGGAACGTACTTCCAACCCTCCGGGCATTGAGGTGGACTAGGGTCGGTGCGTAACGCCCGCTCGAGTTCAGCATCGACCTCCCACTCTACCGGTGCCACCAGACAAGACTCCGGCAGTATGGGAGTGGGCTCCACGGACCTCTCCTCCGTGTCATACCGCCGAGACAGTGCGTCTGCCTTACCATTCTGTGACCCAGGGATGTACGTGATCTTAAATGTGAACCGGGTCAAAAACATATTCCACCTCGCCTGGCGAGGGTTCAGCCTCCTCGCTGCCCGGATGTACTCCAGGTTACGGTGGTCCGTCAAAATGAGGAAAGGGTGTTGAGCCCCCTCAAGCCAGTGCCTCCACACCTTTAGGGCCTGTACCACGGCTAACAGCTCCCTGTCCCCTACGTCATTGTTTCGCTCCGCCGGACTGAGCTTCTTGGAATAAAAAGCACAGGGGCGGAGTTTAGGTGGCGCGCCGGACCGTTGCGAAAGCACGGCTCCTATACCGGCCTCTGACGCGTCCACCTCTACCTGAAATGGCAAAGAGGGATCCGGATGCGCCAGCACCGGGGCCGAGGTAAACAGGTCCTTCAGCTTCCCAAACGCCCTGTCCGCCTCGGCTGACCACTGCAGACGCACCGGACCCCCCTTCAAAAGAGACGTTATGGGAGCTGCCACCTGTCCAAAACCCCGGATAAACCTCCGGTAGTAATTCGCAAACCCCAAAAACTGCTGCACCTCCTTCACAGTAGTTGGCGTTTGCCAATTACGCACGGCTGACACCCGGTCTACCTCCATCTTCACCCCTGACGCAGACAACTGATAACCCAAAAAGGAGACCGACTCCTGGAAAAACAGACACTTCTCTGCCTTGACAAACAGGTCGTGCTCCAACAGCCTCCGCAACACTCGGCGCACCAGGGCCACATGCTCGACTCGGGTAGGCGAGTACACGAGAATGTCGTCTATGTACACGACCACCCCCTGCCCCTGCATGTCCCTGAAGATCTCATCCACGAATGATTGGAAAACTGAAGGAGCGTTCATCAACCCGTATGGCATGACAAGATACTCGTAATGGCCCGAGGTGGTACTAAAGGCTGTCTTCCATTCATCGCCCCCCTAATGCGCACCAAGTTGTACGCGCTCCTGAGATCTAATTTAGTGAAGAAACGCGCCCCGTGCAATGACTCCGTCATGGTCGCAATCAGCGGGAGTGGATAACTGTACTTCACCGTGATCTGATTGAGACCACGGTAATCAATGCACGGGCGTAACCCACCATCCTTTTTCTTCACAAAAAAGAAACTCGAGGACGCAGGGGAAGTGGAAGGCCGTATGTATCCTTGTCTCAGAGATTCGTCTATGTAAGTCTCCATAGCTCTCTTCTCCTCCTGAGACAGAGGATACACATGGCTCCGTGGGAGCGCAGCTCCTGCCTGGAGGTCTATCGCACAATCTCCCTGCCTATGGGGAGGCAACTGCGTCGCCCTCGACTTACTGAACACAATAGCGAAATCCCCATACTCAGGGGGAACGTGCAATGCGGGCACCTGGTTTGGACTCTCCACCGAGGTAGCCCCTACGGAAATGCCTAAACATCGACCCACACACTGGGCAGACCACTCCATCAGAGCCCTCTCCTGCCACAAAATAGATGGGTTATGGGTACTCAACCAGGGCATGCCCAGCACCACCGGATACGCAGGCGAGTCGATCAGAAATAGCTGGATCATCTCCTGATGACCCCCCTGCGCACACATCCTAAGTGGCGCCGTGACCTCCCTGATCAAGCCCGCACCCAACGGACGGCTATCTAAGGCATGAACGGGGAAGGGGACGTCAACAGGGAGAAGGGGAATCCCTAAGGCTAAACAAAATTCCTTATCAACAAAATTCCCAGCCGCGCCTGAATCTACCAGCGCCTTATGCTGGGAATGAGGTGCTACCTGTGGAAAACGCACAGGTATACAGAAGTGTGCAACAGAGAGCTCTGGGTGAGTGGGGCGCCTACTCACCTGGAAGGACTCCCCAGTGCGGGACCTGTCGTCTTCTCCCCTAGGAGGCCATCCCCAGCACCTAGCCACGGTGTGTCCTCCCCGACCACAGTTGGTGCAGGAGATGGACCCCCTCGT